TTGTAAACATTGAGATAATAATTTGTTAATCAACTTCAAAAGATTAATATTATAGTTGGATATTTTCACATTACATGTTAAATACAATATTTAGAAGTAAAATTTACAATCTTAAGCTATTCCTTTTTACAATATATTTTTTCTACATTTTTCACATATTTATTTACAAGTTCTGCTTTAACGGTATTCATTTGCACAAAATCATTTAATCAAAAATATTTTAAATGCTTTTGTTTTGAATTTTTAGAATGTTTTTATTACCGAACAGTTTAATTTTCTTTACAATTTAAGTTAAGTCACAGTTCCGATTGTAAATATGATATGGCAGCTTTCTATTTCACTGGAAAATGGAAACAACAGATGCCACTTCGTGCATGTTTTTAGACACGACCTTAAAAAATCATATGGTGTACGAAAATGATATTTCTAAAGTACAAATTTATTTTTAAAAAGTATATCTTCAACCGCTGTTACCCTTATATTATTATTGTATAATTGTGTAAGATTGTGCAAACTTTAAATCAGACATGTTGTAAACGTGCATGTCAGCCAAATTAAAAAAAGAAATAATAGCTAGTTGGAAATCCTTTAGAACCTGAATAAAAGAAATACATCCGTTCATAGATAACCACTTACGAATGATATAACTTCTAGAGTTTCGTGTTAGCCTGAAAGCTTTTATATTAAATATATTTCGAAAAATAATCAACAAAATGCTCCACTTCATTTAATAAAGGGGAAACAACAATGATCTTCAAGAAAAATCAGTCTAATAACTTCGATATAATATCTTGCACATATTAAGTACTAGAAAGAGCACCGAAACACGAGGCTATCTGATTTGTACGAGGGGGCGTAGCCCCCGAGTATAAATCAGATTGCTGAGTTTGTTGGTGTTCTTTCTCTTTTGTATCATAGTCACACATAAAAACACGTTCCCTGTTGTCACAATATGAAACACCAGAAAAGGGTAACCAATGAACGAGCATCTGAATAATTATGATATTTCTGCCGCTTTCCCCATTGTATACACACCGGTCTCTCAAATATCGACCTGTGTCTTACGATGCATATCTCACCCCAAATGAGGGTAAAAATGACTCCGACATAAAGAAGTCCGCGTAGGGATGACAATTTTACTTTATAAAACATAATATATCTTTTCAAGTGATTAAAATCGTTTATTGCTTCCAATGGATCACTGTTTTCCAGTGTTTAATATTGCAAGTGCAGTTGATAGTTCGACTGCGTTACTATTTATTCAAATATTCAAAACTCTTTTCACTTTCGGTTTTAAAATAACAATCGACGAAATACTATCACGCGTGTTGAACGAAACTAGGTTAGTAAAACCACAAAAGGAATGTCAGTAGGGGTGTTTGATGCATGTCTTGAGTAAAAGTGATGTAATGGCTATTTTGCCAACAGGGTATGGAAACAGTTTAATTTTTCAACTGGCCCCATTTGCGTTGTGTTTTATCACTTACGTGTTCAAGCCGCCATGTAAAAAGTAGTGCGTTCCCATCATGCTTAGAGTGGTTTCACACAGGTCAGTAAGACCGGTGTACACAATGCCGCTTGGCTGTGACTAAAAATAGGATTGGAGCACCACACTAAATACCGTATTCCGGTATATACCGGACAAGGCGCTTGAATGATAAAATGCTAAAATCTTGTCTTTTTACCCAACGGAATGAACTTTAACAGGTGTAATTCATCTTTTCACACCGAATCAAGTACGATAATCAAGGAAAAATGTAAAATTCGGCGAAAAAAACGATATTTGTCTATTTTGTGATCATGATTTCTGCAAGCGTCTAGAGGTACTGCTCCAATCCTGTATTGAGCTAAATCCATGCCGCTTTCCCTTTCTCTGCCGTCACAATATGTAAACCCCAGCAAAAATGAGCCAATCAACGGGCATGATCTGGAGTGCAGGTAACTAATACCTGCACTCCAGTTACCGCACTGTTCATGTATATGTATACGATTTAACTCTGACACGTTTTTAACAGAATGGTCCCCAAACTATGATACAACTTAAACTAAGAGGCAGAATCGTTCAAAATATATTTATGCTATTAGCGTATCTTTTTTATGTGGTATATTTAGCAGGCCAATGTATCCTCACCTTATTATTTGATCAAATAATAGAAAGTTGATTACAGTACACTGTTAGTATTGATTAAACTACGATTTACGAGGGGCATATTTTAATTAGTGGAAACGGCAGAACGTTTTTATAAATAAGTCATACCTGTGAAAAATCCTTCAAAATATTTACGGTTGACTTTTACACACTTTTCCAGCCTCAGAATCCATTTTTAAACTGTTCTTAAGGTATACTGTTTAAACACTGGAACCTTTCCGACGACACTACGGGCTTCGACCGTGAAGGAGAGTGATCAGGACTATAAGCGGTATATAGCAAAAAACCTCAATTCTCGGCTCCTCAAAATAAGCTTGAACCAAGGCTGACCGGTACGCAGATTCTTTATCATTGAATAATTTGATCCTGAGCAAATTTTTAAATTATGTGTGTAAACATTTGTTAGAATAATCATACTTTTAATACACTTCTCCAGACTCTTTACTATCTTTAATTGTACACGTCAAATTTAAATTTCTATTACTAAAACAATGCTATTTCTATAATCAAATTTCAATTATCTGACAACATGAAAATTAATTTTCTTGCGTTTTCCGTTGCTTTGTAACGGCCAATTATCGTCTATTCCCATCAAAATTACATTTTGATTTAACTACATGTATTTGTATTGAAACTATATTAAAAAAGGTACTTGAGTTTGCGATTATTCTTGATTTGCAAACTTATTCCGGAGGCTGATAATTATAATGCATACATATTCCAATATGATTAAAATGGTATTGTTTAAACCATAGATTGTGCTGCGTTAGTTATAATGAGTTTCTTTTCCTTACAGGCGATGGTTACATCAGTCATTTGGAGAGGAACTATTACAAAAATTAAACAACAGTACATTGGATATGATATATAACACAAACTTCATTGAGAATTACGTGTTGTTCAAATAACCTTAAATATATAAATATAATGAGGTGTTTCACACACAATAATATAATGGTTTTAGATATTATGAAAATCAAATTATAAACTAATCTTATGGTTTTCATTGGCCAGAAAGTACAGTAATGAGAAACGGAAGCCTGTAATTGAATTGCGTTGGTGTGTGACAATTATTTTAACGAATAACATTAAAACTGATGTCAAAGTAAGTTAAACCAATAGGAGGATGTATTGTAAGTGCTTTAGCTCTAGTTCATAAAACCTGACATTTAAACATGTGACACTTATATCTGTTGCACACGTTGATAACGTTACGTTTATCTGTGATGATTGTAACTACCTTGTGTTATAAGAAATTACTATATTTAATTTAATTCAATATTTTAATCTTCTAAATCTTTCTGAATTATCTCGAAAAATATTATAATTTAATTAATTATATTATAATTATTGATTATATTATCATGATCGTAGTGGCATTCAGTGAAAGATCTCATTCGTGATTTGTCTTATCTTTTAAGTACTGCTTCTGTTCGTTTGTTGTAATAATCATTAAATAACTTAAATACCAGGCTGACATTCTTACTACGAGATTTAGTATGTTTGTATGGCAAAGAAACTTATAATATTATGGTTGCCGTTGATTTGATAAAATAACATAGTGAATTAATATTCCGAAAATATTCAACGAAAATAAGTTGAAAGAAAACTAGGATACAGTCATCTGAACTTCTTACGTTTCTCAAATCTTATAACAAATGTCGGGTTGCATAGATAATTTAAATTGCTAACTTTGAAGAGAAATGGCAATCGCAGAAACAAGACTTTTGCATTTAGATATGAGTTTTACATTACGATAAGTGTGATAGTGTTGCATAGACTTCTTAATTAATAAATCAACAGAATGATGCACAAATCCAATGCATATTAATTTTTCTTTTTATTTTTATAATCAAATATTATGTAAATATATTTTCTGCATGTTGTGTTCTGAAACTCACATGCATGATTTTGTTTTTACTTTCTCCAATCAAACGAACTAGGAATAATAAATTGTTAATGTCAAGTCAATGAAGTCATATAATCAACAGGCGAATACGCCTGTAGAGATAATTGTCAGGTTCGGTTAGTTAACAGCTAGCAGTAAATTATGCTGCAAGAAAACTTATCATTGCCAAGACAGCTCTTGTTCTATCAACAGACGTTTCTTATCAGAAATAAAACTGACAATTTGATTCATGATGCATTAAAATGAGTCACTTCCGAGCACAAACTGAATACAGTTTATTTGATTTTTGTTTTAAAATGTTTGAATGCTAACTGAATTAAAGGATTTCTTTATTCTTATATTTTTTCTATCACTGTTTATATGTATGTATGTATGTATGTATGTATGTATGTATGTATGTATGTATGTATGTATGTATGTATGTACGTACGTACGTATGTACGTACGTACGTACGTACGTACGTACGTACGTACGTACGTATGTATGTGAACGTATCGTAACAGACTTCGCATTACGTTAAAATTTGTTGCAATTAAATCCAAACGCAAACGAGAGATAAACAACAGCGCTTTTCTACAGCTTAAACCACCAAATTATTTTAAAATGATAAAAAATCATGTGACGTTGCTTTATTTAAATGCAATGTACCCATTTCATATTTCTTTATATCACATATTTGTAATATCAAATAGTCCGTAATTTGGTATATTGACAATTTCTATATATTTTCCTCTATGATATCATTTGAAAATAAATAAATAGATAATTCGTTTTTCATTTTTCTTATATGGACTTTCTCTAAATTAGTTACTGAAAGGCCTCAAAACATTTTCCCGACTCGTTTTTGATATTTGAAATAAGGATCCCTCGGAATAATTAAATGTATTAAATGTATTAAATGTATTGACAACTAATGTTATATCATTTATTTAACTAATTATCCAATGAAAACCGTATTACAAATTACGTGGCAAGCATAAATCATTGTGTCATTTATAACATTTAACATATTCTCATTTGCTTAAATTGCTACGCTCAACGAACAGAGCAAATTAAAAGTAACATTGTGCTTTATTATACACTATCAAATCGTCTTTACTTTACATGACATTAAAACAGGTTGATATGTACTACATTTAGAGAAAGGCGTTTGAAACATCACCTTTGTGTTTCAAAGTGTAACTTTATTCTGCTACAATTTATCTCAAAGGATAGATAGACAAATGAACTAGTTTTGGATTAGTTGAACGTACGTTTTGTTTTTATTCTAAAATTATTGGAAGATAAAGGAAGGTTATAACATAAATTTAGTTATTTTAATATAAATAAGTGTCAGCGTACGTAAATGTAATGTTTGTAGATCCAACATAGTGTAAAATATAATTTACAAAGACTACGAACAATACCTGTTTTAAAAAGTCACAAACATTTGTTTCTTGTAAAAAAAAATATTGAATGACATGGTATAAGAACATTTCAAATTGATTATCTTACAAACTTTTATATTACTTCAAATGTTTGATAATGGTATTTGAAAATTTGATAAAGCTATTTTTTATTAAAATATTAAGGACGCAATGTTATATAGGATTGATTAATATGAATATAACATATATATCCGATCGCTATAGACACTTTTATGAAAGTTCATGAACCATTTTCTAAAGATGATGACACCTAAAGGTCTATATAAAGAATGTTTAAGGAGTTGTCTTTTACAAAAAAAGAGAACTTTCTTGTTTAGAAAAAAATTATTCTAAACGAACATATTAGATATTTTGTCTAACATATGTGAAACTTTTTCTAAAATTATAAAAATTATAAATACATTAGAAATGTAAATTTATACTGAGCTAAATGTGTAAGGTATTTAAACATCAATTAATCGACAATTCAAAAAGAAAGAACGCGCAAAGTTACAAATACTTTGAGTACGTTCTCTTTAAGATATTTCAATATTGCTTGTGTTTTATTATGTAATAATTGTTTTCTTTTATAAAAGTGTTGTATCACTGTATCTTTGAAAGTAACGGCAGAAGATTTTAATGACTGTGTGAAATAAAACATATTCAAATATTAAAACCAGCAATTCATTATATAAACACTAGAATATAAAACTGACGTAAAAGTTTATGTTTACGACGAAAATGACATTTCAATTTATGCACTTTATAATTATTATAATCATTCATTTTTACACATTTAAAGCAAAATATATACATGTATACGAGTTAGTTATGTTGTCTTTGTAAAATTTAACGGGCCATCTTAAGAAGCTTTGTATCATGATATTATTTATCTACTTCTTGCAACTCATTAAATAAAAAAACTGCTTTAAAGAACTGGCGTTTAAGTTTATGTCACTAGTTAAAAACATCATACTTTAAGGACTTCATCATTATGATATATTTTGATACATCTTAAAACGTAATTCTAGTAGCCTTATCGCATAATATTATAATCGATTTTTGACTTAAACAAATAATATATGAAAAACAATAAAATTACCAATGCATCCTATGTTCTGAGCTGAAACACAGGAATAACACCAGATTTTTTAAAAATTTTTATGAGTATATCTGTTTATTTCTTACAGTTAACTTTACATATGTTAAGTATGACATATAATTTACTTCTTACTTTGACAATACATCAAAATCATGATAGTTTTAGCGGTTTAATATTCAAAAGGTATCATTCGTTAATTAAGCACACACAATTGTTGAAGACAACCATTATTCAGGTAGTTATATTGAGTATATTATCATGATTTTTTGTTTTGTTTTTTGCACAAGTCCAATGTCATAATATATTCATTTTCTTCCTGTCACGGTGCAAACTAAATTAGCACATCAATCTTGGGCAATAAGAATTATATATTATATAAGGAGTGTTTACCTCTACTTAGGATGTACATGTATATGTAATACAAGTAATATATGAATGCGTTAACATGCTCATTTTTTATAAAAGATAAACTCTTATTAAATAAATAATTTTATGTGAAAACACAAACAACAACATATACAATAAATAATAAGAATAAAAAGATTAAATAAAGTAAGAAACACTATTTAAGTTATGTATATTTAACTAGATGTTTTATAATCGCCTGAGGATAAAGATTATATTTTATTATACTGTTTTGGATACATCAGTTTCAGCTTTGTCTTACATAATTATCTAACCAAATAGCCTATTAATCATAAATTTCATGAAAATAAAGTAATTGGTCAACTGGTCTCATTAAAGTACATTTGTTCAGGTCATAACGACTCTGAATAGAACAGATGGTGGTCATTATTAGGAATTAGGATGTTTCTCGGGTAAATGGTTAAAAAGAGATAATTTTCTTGCTAGAATGTTATGTATCAAAGGTAATCTATTCATCTGGTCCGAGAAAACAGCGTTAGCCACAGGGGGAAACTATATAAACGTTTAGATATTATTAAGTATTCTATTAACTGAAGTATTCGGGGGGGGGGGGTGAAAGAAGATTTATAAAGCTTTGGATATTTCAATATTCAATATCGGTAGTGCATGCTTTCATAATATTGCAGACGACAATTTTAATTTTGGAAGTGTGTAAAGGAAATCAATGTTATTCCAGTGTATGTATTGTTGGGATAATTCATAGAGACGAAATGTTTATTCCTCAGAAACTGATTCCTTCTTGTGTGTTGTGAACCGGAAAACTAATCATATATTGGCGCGATAAATACATCACGCATATCTGACCTTGAAAAGACATTCAACACGGCTTTACATGTGAAACTTTTCGCAGCAGATCTGATGTTATGTGAATTGTAAATGACAATAAGTTTGATTAACGGTCGAGACATTATATGTCTTCAAGTCAATTTCTAACTTTATCAGAAATGTTTTATAATTATTAGATACTATCGTTTGGAAAAGTATTTCAAGGACAAATATACTATTTGATTAAATTCAGAGTTACATAATTGGAGAGAAAAACAATATATTAGAAAATACACAAAATGGTGTCGATGGCGTTATGCCTGTTAGAAACTGTGGCAACAATAGAAACAATGTTTCAGGTGACTCAACAATATGCTTTATTATTGGATAAAACTGTGATAAATACAACGCCTGTAAATGACAAAACAGGGACAGACACAAAGGATACAAGTGGCGGGATGCACCGAGCGTAAGTATTAAATTTTACATGATGTCAAAATTATCTCATTTTCTAAAATCTTTTTTAAACAAAATTATTTTTTTTTTTTGTAATGAAACAAGCCTTTTACATGCTTTGTAGTTGTATAAAGATATCATATGTAGTGCATTATTCTATATCTGCAAATACTGAACAATTTAGAATGATACAGTTTTAATTTCGCAAACCTTTTGAGAACAAAAACAAACAGAGAAACAATACGTGTATGTGAAAAGACGGATTTTTGTCATTATTAATGATTTATAAAATGATAACTACTTCATAGGATTAAATTAAAATCATAATAAGCCACTATTATATGAACATATTGCTTTTGTTAAAGGAGAGGACTACCATGAGCTATTGTAGCTCTCGGTCTAATTCCTTTTTGCTTAAATTGTAAAGCATTAACATGTATATATTACCTTGAATAAAAATATGTTTAAATCAACTACTTGAAATGTATCACAATACATCATCAGCTGATGTAACTATGTACTAAGCAAGTCATTGCTATCTTTTCAGATCCATTCATCACTATGCAAGACATGGTCTGTGCCGTACTTTCAATGGGAAGAAAAAACTCTACAAAGCTTTAAAGTCAAAATTTTGTCGCACAAAAAGTAAGCATACATGATTGCAGATTTTTTTTCAACAATACATAATAAAGGTGCTTATCTTCCCGCGGCAACTAACATAACTGTACCATTGCCAAATTACAACTATTCAATAAAAAAATCAGTTACCCAGGTCTGGAACGTAAATTAACTTTGAAATATGGTATGTTGAGAATTTTTTTGAACAAGATATACAAAAGTAACTATAATTTACAAACCTTGTATTTTTACGCTATAATTAGGTTGAAACGTTTCACAGGTTATCAATAGTATCGCAATAACTCCGTTAAATAATATTGATAATAAAGCTATGTTTAGTTCTACATGCTTCCCATTATATAATCATCAGACATATATATGCAACACGTTCTGTTAATACAATTCAATTCATTGCTTTTCATTTTCCCATTCAGTATCATTTACGGCAAGTTTCGTGATTGAATTATGTAGACGCAGAGATGGTATGCTTGACGAATTAGTCAGAGAATTATTCGACGTGGATGGTAATATTATTCATCGGATATATTTTTGTAGTTGTGTTATTTATTTTTATAAAATTTATGTATTGTATTTTAAAAACATGACTTAATTACATTCTGATCCAGTGATGTTACCAAACTTCATGATATAATAATATTTTAACTGTATCTATCATTGGTTAAGGTAGCATTGAAAAAAATATATACATTAGTATGCAATTCAATGATATGCGCTATTTTGATAAATAATACTAATGTGAAATGTCTTAAAATGATATGCATTATTTTGATAAATCATATCCAATTTTGGAATTTAGGTAATAAAGTTAACGTAATTTGAATTATCTGTAGCGTGAAGAAGTAACAGGGAAATATATTACGAATAATTGTTAGGACTTACACTAAGAAATTCTGTTTTCCTGAAGAAATGAATATTTGTACTGTGTGGTGACTGAATTCACTAACATTTTATCACATGTAATTTAAATTCACAATGTTTTATCTTTAATTTAAGGAGACGGCTACGTCACGCATTACGAAAAACAATTGTATGATGCTGTTTAGTGAGGCGAAAAGGTTGGAACACAGAAGTGACTGATAAGACTGATAATTAGCTAACATGAATAATCAAATGTACAAAACGTTTGATCGGGTGTGATTCACTCAGAAGTGATAATAACATTAAAAATGGATAACCTGCATTTAAATTTCTTCAACAGTTTCGCTTAGGAAAAAGAAATATTAATATCAGTCAATATAATGAAGTATGTCGGTATGATCAACGGAAACAGATACTTAATACCGTTGTACACTGTACAAGTATGCTACGTTTTTCGTTATTTTTTTTAAGTTGAATATCATAATAAACATAAGCCTAAGGGTGTTTATTAATCAAGATCGAACATTTGTTAATAAGAATGGTTGCATAAAAAAGTATGTTCACATTATTTGTTAAATGTTGTATGTTAAAAAGGGAAATAAAAATCTTAACAACTAAACTTTATGCAATTTCCTAATATTTTTTCTAATATTTTTTCTATTACATCTTTGTTTTTAATGGCATTTATGTGTGTGATTTTGTTTGTACGCTGTTTGTTGTTTGGATTTTAGATTGTGACACACTTTCGGAGTAAATGTAATATGACAACTTTCCATTTCAATAGTAAAGGGAAACAACAGGACTGGTGCAACTTTGTGCATGAATGTTGACACGAGCTTATGGAGTTCTTAAGTTTTAGAAATAAAAAGAAAACAAAACAAATTCAATTTACATTTTAGACTTATCAATGAGTCTTAACATTTAACTTTGACATGGGCGCCAACAACTCATGCTATTTGTGCGCATGTTTGTGTTATGTTATGTCTTACACCATGTGTTAAATAACCAATTATAACTCTTATCTCAACTCGAAATAAAGGTATCTCTTGTGAAACCAGTCGTTCATTAAAATATTGAAAAAAGTAGAACAAAACGCAGAACAATTCCTGTCTAATAGTTATCCTGCCATCAAACATGAAGGCTCTTAGCAATTGTCATAATAAAAAAGAGCCTGCAAAGTAATTTTGTCATGTGTTAACTAACAGGAATATCGTGTTGTTTTTTTTTGGGTTTTTTTCGTTGTTTTTTTTTTCCTTCTTTTTTATTTTTATTTTCCATATTTTACAAAGCACTGACATGTACGATACAATTCACTCTTTCAATTGTAAAAAAAAGTAACTAGAAAATGTGAGCATAACTTAGAGATCAATAAAAACAGTATTCGAGCCTCTCTTCTGTTAATAACTCATCGGTATCAAAGTCATTTCCTTTACTCATTTGATAAAATTACGTTACAGATAAATTGTATCCATCAATATTTGCAAAGATATAACTAGCCAAAATCAAGAATATTCAATGTTCTAGCAAACACATGCAAACACGTAGAAAAAGGAAACCTTTTATTTAAAATTCAACTGTTTCTTTGAAGGTTGCATGTTTGCTTTGTAAATTAAATAAATTGTAACCATTTTTGTTCTTATTTTTTTTTTTAAAAATTTATGTAATTTTTGTTTTGTTTTACAAGGGTACCAATATAATACAAAATTTTGTCTTGATGTTCGATCTTTGTAGTCTATTAGCTGGGGTTTATATATCTAAAGTTCATAATTTATCACTAAGTATAGCATCTGTAACATCTGCTTGTAAACCATCATTCTATATACATAACACATAATTATGAAAGCATGTAGTCATGTAAGCATTTAAACAATAAAGGCAAGTTCTATAGGATCTGAAGCCCGTTTAACACAAAATGATATGCCATTATTCACACAAATGAATCTCATTGAGTGCTGCTTAAAGACTGATATACAGTTTCAACGCAAATAGAAAATGTAAAAGTATAAGAAACGTCATAAAATCATATGAACAGTGAGACGCTTCCACTCCGTATACCAATTTACTGAATAGAATGGAAACGAGACGCACACGACATGAACAATTTCCCGCTAAGGTCAAGGGGAAGCAACTCTTAAAAGAAACAATACGGATAAGAAATAAGAAAGCTGGGGAAATCTCAAAACACATAATATCCGAAAAATAGAACGTGTAACATATGCATTTAAAAGACTTAAAACAATAACGTTTATAAACTTTAAATATAATTGAAGTCATCTACCTTAGCCATTTTCAAGCGTATAATGTATGAAAATCATGTCATATATCAAATTATCCATGTTTTCATGGACAAACTTCTTTAAAAAAATATAACTCTATGTACACCTTTCCTTTTTAGCATCAATTTATCAATGATAACTTCATATCGTTCAACGTCTATATTGTTGATACTTTTACCTATAATTAGTTTATTATTGTTTCGATAATATTTAAATCACGAGCATTTAGACACCAATTCTAGTAAGTCAATGACTAGGATTCAATAGAGATTGGTTACTGTGACAACAGCAAATATTAAATCCTAAATGACTTTCCTTTCAGGGATACACTTTTCGATTTTTTCCAATAAAATACTACTTAAATAACAACTTAAACATTTCCCTACTGGACTATTATTTTAATTTGAAACAGTTAATTTGAAATTTTAGAGATTGTACTATTAAAACATGAGCAAACAATGATTTACCAACGGTATAAAGAGGAGAAAGAGGCTTGTTACAGATTTATGCAATATATGTACATAAAACCAGCGATATATAACGTCTAAAATGTTTATCACACAATATTGATTAAATTGTGCAAGCTGTTATTTCTTTAAAAGGTCCATCAAGCCTAGAAATGGATACTCGTATATTTTCATTCTCAAATGCTTCTTACTTTTGATGTCTATGTTACCCATAGGTCATGAAGTTGAACCATCATCTGCTTCTTCTTTGGTTTAACAAGAAATTTACTTTTCTGTATGGAATTCAAAATACCACAACTTTGCTTACATTAATTTTTTTTTGTCTGGCATTTAGATAAAATAGATAAATACAGAATCATTCACATTCACATATTTCAGGAGAAGGTTTTACATTTTGATTTGATGCCACATGGTTATGGTCATAGGGAAATTTTAAGGAAATTTCTTCACAATAACAAGAGTTTCCATACCTAAAGGTTTGTGAAACTATTTATTTATCATACTTTTGTTTATACATGTACTTTTTAACATGGATTTAACTTTCAGCAACTGGATCAGAAACTCTAGACGCCTGCAGAAATCATGGGTTTTTTTTCGACAATTTTTATATTTTCAGTCATGATCGTATATGAATCGGTGTAAATTTATGAAATAGGTGCTTTAACGTGCGTTTGGGAGATCAAAACTGCATTATTCTAGCATCTAATCATTCAAGCACCTTATTCGGTATCAACCTGAATACGGTCTTAAGTATGTTTTAAGTCTCACACCATAAATTCAAAACTGATACAATTTATGAAATAAGAATACGAATCTCAATATGTAAGAGTTAAATAAAATACAGGCATAATTGACCTAATTACACATTAATTTTCTAGTTTTTCACAAATTGTTGAGGTGAACATTTGTTTTACTTCCTTTACTACATTTTACTTTAATGCCTTTACAAAACATCATGTTTCATAGCACAGAAAACAAATTATCGGTATGTAAACATGGTTTATAGCAGAGCAAATAAGTTATCACTTCTAAAATTTTTACGGAAAATATAACTACTTTTCTATTGACTTTGCATAATATATATTTCGATAAATCGTAAATAGTTATTATGACTTTTTCTTGCCATATTTAACTAATGAAAGACACTACACAGTCTGTTACTACCTTTATTTCCCAAAAATATCATAATGTTTGACTCAATAACAAATATTAAGTACTGAGGTAACATTGTTAAATAATAATTAAAAAAATATCAAAGGATCAAGAAAAAATAATAATGAAATAATAATAATACTTTTATCGTAAAATAACATTTTTTCTCTTCTTCCGATTGGCAATTCTTCTTGTCAAAAGTAAGTAATAGGTTTTGATGAGATGGAAACTATTATGTTAGGATGTGCACACTTTTTGGAGAAATTAGTTTTGGTTACTGTATCTTCTATGTATCATGTGCAAGTAAATATTACATACAATAAGATAATACACGGTAAAATGATATGTAAAAAGGTCATTGATCATGATGCATTGTTAGAATTTTTTATTACATGGAAACATTTTTACATCTGATATACATAGTGATACTCTTTAAGCCACGAAACGAATATGTGACATTTACCTATTATATAAAGACAAAAATGCAAAGACAGTTATTTAAAAGGTATTATTATACAATATAAGGGATAATAATACGTAAAATAGTCATTGATACATTGTTAGAAATTATAATTACATGAAAATATTTTTAAATCTGATATACATATTTCATAAAGACAATAAATTCAATTTTCACAAAAACAGTTAATTCTTTTAGATATTAAAGCTATATGGAGTAATGTAGTGTCTCTAATTATACAGTGATACATCAAAAATGGCCTTTTAAAAATGCTATACAGTTTAAAATACTCACATAAACACGCTTTTACGATATCTGATATTTTTTAACTTAACAAATATAATAGATATGTAAAAGAATAATATCGTACTTTAAGCAAATGTGTTAAATGGATCTCCTAAAAACTAAAATAAACTGATATTAACAGTTTTGAAGATAATAGTATAATTAACATATTTTGTGTGCTGCTTTAATGAATGACTTTGACCTTCTTTATTGGCAGTTTACGCATATAATTTAAAATTGTAAGTTAGATCATAACCAATATAATAAAAATATACAATAAAAATGCATAAATTAATATATATGAATTCTTCATTTAAGGTCATAAAATTATCAATAAAATGTTTAATAAAATACCATATTGAAAGCAATATTTGATATAAACGGGTGTTTGTAAATAATATTAAAATTAAAATAAAGAGTGTTCGGTCGTGGCTTTTGTCATACCTAATTTCTCAAATTAATATTTTTATTGTCAGTTTCAATGTTTTCCCTAAATAAAGAAAAAAATTAAGGTTTATCAATAAAAAAGATAAATTCTCGTTTTTAAGGCATTGAATATGTTGAATATGTTGAAAATTTTCCGTCAACGGAATGTCAAGAAGATTTTATGATTATGTTATTTCCTCTTGCCTTTTTACTATTATCAGACCGGTTATATCAGTAATTAAGTTTTTTTTTTTTTCAACTATACATTATGGGTTTGACAATTTTCCAGAAAACGAATTCCTATAATTACTGCTTTGCGGAATAATGTTTCTGGTAGAATATGACCAATATTTCCACTGAACAGTAACATTATCACCCGAATTTAATTTTACTATTGCATGTGCCGACTGACATTCGTAGTAGTGATAATTACACCCATATGCAGTCGCATGTACAACGGATCCTACCATTATATCAAACTGCATGTGTCTTTGACTAATAATGCACATTTGTGCTTCAAATGTATACGTTCCATTTCTTGGGGCAACAAAATACCAGTCGAAGTGTTATAAGCATTTCCCTCATTCAAAAGCGTCTTAGAAAAAATCATTGTCTGGCCTATAGCTGGACTGCAGTCAGTTACATAGTAAGCGTTGAAAGCCACACTTGAGTCTGATTCTGAAAAGTTCACAAATTTTATCTGACAATAAAAAAAATGTTTCTTTGTTTTAAACAGAACGAAAAGTATAAAAGGTTTGCATATAAAATACATTGTAAAGTAAATATTTTCATCTTTCATCATTTCTAAATGAATTTGATATTGTGTTTGGGTCATAACATGTTAAAGATATCCGTGGGAAAGTTAGTAAAATGTTGTTTCTTACCTAGTCTTGCATAAAAAATAGATTTATTACCTATATTAATTTTATTAGAACTATTCTTATGTTCTTGAATTTAGAAAATGTTGTAATGTGGCAACAACTTACGACACTCCTCTTCGTTGCAAGCTCCTACTTGTATTGGATCTCCAACACATTGATCTCCATGAGTTCCAGGTACTGGATTTGTACATGACCTTGACCTGGTTTTTAATCCAACACCACAAGATTCGCTACATGTACTCCATGTGACCCAATTTGACCAACCTCCATTCGATGCTAAAATTTCATTTTAATATATTTAGTGTATAGTATTTCAAACTCATTACTACAAAATGTTTTCAAAATATTAAAGTAATATTCAGGTAGTTTAAGTACTTATTCCATGTCATTATTTTTGAATTGTTCAGGCAATGCGGTTGCTATTTGAATAATGCACAAAATTCAACGGTGTAACTAAGGCATATACCGGTAAATGTACCTCATAATACAGCTAGAATCGTTTTTCTCAATATAAATTGCCACCTGAAAACTTTAGTTTTATTATTCTTTGTCAGACTTTTTACGAAGTGACAATCATGCATTTTTATACATCAATATGATTTGATATATTCATTTCATAATTAAAACGCAATCAAGCAAACAGTTGTACAGCTGAATGTGTTTAGCTCAAATTCATGAAAGAATCATCTGTGCAAATAAATCTATCAATTGTATTCTTTTTCGTTAACAGACTGATAAGAATGTGTATGATGATTATATATATTGCTTGTTTTATGCATTAAAATATGTGTACCATCACAGGGTTTTTGTTTGCACAGTTTCACGTCAATAGTGTCTCCAAAACAATGGTCGCCATGCCGTAAAGGAGATGGATTCGTACATGAACGATGTCTCTTCTGTATACCTATATCGCATGTTACAGGGCATGACTCCCAACTTGACCATACCTCCCAGCCCCCATGAACTGAAATATGATAACACTTTAACATTATAAACTGAACCAAGACAACTCGTTGAATTATAAGTTCTATGTTTAAGATTGTTTTTAACAAACCTTAAATGAAAAATGAACACGCAAGAAGTTTTTACCTGGACAAAGCGGTCGAGTACAAGGTTTAGTGTCCGAGCTGCTTCCTTTACAATCTAGCCCTTGATATACGGGTGCAGGGTTTGTGCATGTTCGAATGCGTGTGTGTTTTCCATCACCGCATGTAACGTCACATGATGACCACGACGACCAATCTGCCCAGTTTCCATCAACTTGAATTAATAACAAACGTGTGAATGAGTCACAAAAACGATCGCACTTTGTTTGAAGTACATGTACATTGTCTCTATATTTAAAAAATTGGAAGCATATTTGGTGACGTGTGTAATTTATAACAATTACGATAAATTTATACATTACATAGTAAAGGCCATGCCTTAAAAGATATTTTAGTATTTATATAAATATGGATAAGGCATAAAAATAATTACCTAGATCACACAGTTTGCAGAATTTACGACAAATTAGCTTAGCTTTATGAATCTCTTCACATATGTTGAATGCCTCGTTCCAGAATGGACAGTTATCTTGAATGTCACTGCAAGGGGGCGCTTATTTGACGACCAAGTAAAAAGTAAGTAAGTATGCAAACAGGTACATAAAAACAGAAATTGACCATTTTAAGAGAAGAATTTGTAAATTTAAATCTAAGCCTTGTAGATTTGATGTCCTTTTTAATCTTAATTTTGTGTACAAGTCAAAATATTGTACTACCGACAGTATTACATTTTTATTTAATAAAAAAAAAGTTACATATAAAAAAAAGAATTGAATTAGAAACGTTTGTTGCTGTTTACTTTCAGTTTAAATGATATACAGATTCAACTTACGTGTTTTGTATTTGCACAAGTCATTGTTACACCGACCAACACCGCAACATTCGTAACATTCCTGTATTAGTTGACCGTTGCTCAACTTTGATACGTTATTGTACACGGGTATGTTACCGCAATTCTGTAATGAAATGCATAATTAATAACAATTTGCCATATACCAAAAGTAATATTAACACGCAAGTTCTTTGCTCTATTGCTCATATTATTAGTTCTAAGGCAACGATGTCTTAAATTCAAAGGACACATCCATACGAAAGATGTAATTAAAGCCTTGTCTTTAAGGTAAGCGCCTTAATGCAGATATGTAACTTCATGTAAAGAGAATGATGATCAGTTACACAGAAATTTCTTGGCATTAAAATAAAACGTTTGTAACTGATATATAAAACAAACTGATATTTATTCTTGTTGTAAGTAACGAATTGTTGTAGGGCTTTTGAGCTTTAAACATTCTATGACAAAACATGATCAATACTCTTATTACTTAATAACGGTTTTCGGTATAGTTTTCTACCAACACCATCGCCCATGTTTCTCACAATATACTTCCATTTATCAGACCACTACATCATAGCATGCCTTTCATTTTTGTAACTACTCATTATATTTTTTTTCTTTGAATTACATAATATATCATAAAGAACTGAAGTACTAATATTAAATGGTACCTCATTTCGTGTACATCCCATTGTGAATGAAACAGAATCTCCTTTCTTCTCTAAGCGCGTGAAACACGTCTGTAAGAAACAAAAACATTTAATATTTATTCGAAGGCAACTCTGCTAGAACCTCCTATCACTTGGCTTGAAGTTGTCTTCCTCGATTTGAATCTGTTTTTAAAGAGCTAACTCATTTTGTCAAATTCAACGATAATATCACACACGGCTGAAGGACTTTCGGAGATAATTCTTAATTGCTTGCATTGAAAAAAATATTGAACGAAACTAAGAAGAAAACAAGGGAATAACCAGTTTTCTTGCTACAAATAATGATCTGACGAGCCATGATGTCACACTTATGTTAAACAAAGGTTATTTAAGTGTAACTATTTTTGGAACGTAGTTGCACCTGCCTTGTTTTTAATACACGTGATATCTAAACCATACATAATTCGTTAATCATTATTGTATATATTGAAAAATATGTGTGTATTTATCATTTGAAATAATAGAAGAATATTGTGTGACATTAATGAAGATAACGCATATTCTTGGTAACGAAGTCATGTTATTGGTGTATAGTGTAAGTACTAGTAACGTTTGGAATGACGTGGCAATATCATGACAAGCTCTTCGCACCGGTCACGTCATGCTTGTATCTGTGTTAAGTTCTGATCAGGGGAAGTAAGCTTTGGGTACTTTATGTATGTGTGTGTGTGTGTTTTTGTGTTTTTTTTTGTTTTTTTTGTTTTTTTTGTTGTTTTTTTCTTTATAACTTCCCGGTCGAGTCCGTCAAACTTCATTGATCGCCGAGACAAGAGCGATATTTGCTGTTCGCTTTTTCGCTTTCAAGTATTATCTGATAACGCAACACGACACCCTTTTAACTTAATTTATGTATCTTACGAACGAATTACAAATAATTACCATGTTTATATTTGAAAGTGTAAGGTACCCATGTATAAGTTATTTAAAAACATACCTCGCCACTTTCGCATGTTTTAACAGTTATACAATGGTCCATACTTTCAACGTTGCTACACGAATAACAAAACAGGGAAGCTGAAAAATATAATTGCGTCATTTTAAATAAATTGGATCATTTTAAATATAAACATTTAAAATTGAATCAAGTATCATGTTAGTACACAAATGATATCATTTAGATACATTATTTTATTAACGAGTACGCCTTTGTTTAAGTATTTAATTATAATAAGCAAGAATTTGGGATATGTTAACTTTTTGTACCCTTTATTGAATTTAAAAAAATATATGTTATTGGAGGCAATTGATTTAATCTTGTTTTCTTTTTCTTATCATTTAAGATAATGTAATTTAAAGAAAATATTGAATGAGTATAGGTTTAATACATTTTGAATTAAACTATTTCATGCGGGGCTCTTGGGAACATTTTATTAGTTCAACGAGTTCGATTAAATTAAATAAAGTAATGAAGCATCACGAATAAAATATTCTGTTTAGAACTGTTTTCCGTAAAAATAGCCATTATTTCATTGATGCGCTTATGTTGTAACGCTGAATTACGCTACGTTTGTATAACGCAAATAACACCACATTAAAATATAAGCACAGGGTATTTGAACATCTTTTAGTAAACAAGCAACAATAAATCAATAAACTGTAGTTTGGATTATTTTACGATTAAGAAACACTAATTAAGTTTTTGTACAAACCGACATTTCCAGGGGCAGCAGCCAATAAAAGAAGCATTAATCCTAAAATAAGATAATTTAATACTATTATCACTTATGTAGATATTCATATGTTGATAAATGAATGCAATTAGATGTAATTTTATGTAACTGAAAAGAAGTTCTTATATTTAACAGATAAAAAGTACATTTGATAATTTCATTATGAAAAGATATATAATTTGATAAAATTTCACAATTTCCTTTTAAGAGAGTGTTTGCCTATGTGGTGACTCATATTTATTTACAACCACATAAACACTAACACACATCAAGCCAAATGGCACAATAAGAAAAGATATATGAGCACCAAGGTTAACAAACAAGCACGGGGATATATTCACTTATTATGAGTAAGTAAACATCAAACATTGGTAAAGTACGTCAAAAAAAAAGAATATTTAGTTTAATGTTTTTAACCTGCTTGGAGGTATGAACAGCAATAAAAGGCAAGGTCAATAGACAAGTCCTTACAGTCAGATCAGACATTTTACTGAGGGTAGTATTATATTTCTATTTTGATGTTTCAATACAAAAATTTTCAATAAATTGTGTACTGTATTAAGTGTTAAAATTTTCATATTTATCCGGAAGAAAGTCGTGTAATCAGAAATTAAGATTATAGTCTTTAAAAGAATAAGATAAACATTTACCTTTGTAAAAAATCATTGTGGTAAGTCCCTCACATGAATGTCGGAATGTCGAAAAATAATAAATGTATTATCCTAAATGTTGGAGTATACAAAACAAAATATATTGCTTAAAATAAGTATTTTTGAATGTTTATATATCTTCATCATTATTTGGTCTGTACATTATAATAGGTTAACACTCATATTTCAAAAAATAACTAGTTCAACTGAATACAAGATCACCGTCAATTTAAAGAGGAAGAAAAAATAATAGCAGCTCCAGTGACCAATCGAATGCTAAGATGTTATATGTATCCGTTGACGTTCTGAAGATAAAAAAAATGTAAACGATGCGATAAAACAATCTATAGTTCATAACCTTCAATTGTTAAATAAAGCATATTTGTTAAGTTTAAGTTCTTTAGTATAAAGCTTTTCAAATTGTGAACATGCGTAAGCTGTACGCAGATTAACTTTAAGGTAGACCATTCCTAATTGGCACTATAACAAACTGTGAAAATGACAACAAAGGACAGTTATATGCCTTAAAGGTCACCTTTTATTCAAAATTTAAATAAAATTCACCGTGTTGTTTATGAGTTATGGACATTTTTTCTGAACTAAAACTACTATTAGAAGGGTTTTTTCCACAAGTGAGGAAACTCTAAATAATTCATAATATCATTATTATGAAAAATGTTTTCCTATTGCTCATTGTTAAAAAAACAAAAAGTAACATTCAGATAACAAATTACACGAGCAAATTGATTGGTTCTAAACAAACAGTTTTGAATATTTATGAAAGTGTTACCCTAGTAACTAGCCATTTTAAACACTTATTTCACCATTTGACCATTTCCCTATATACAAAACCTTATTCAAAATATCCCAAAATTTAACAAAATCAGGGGCTGTTGTAAGAGTTTGCCTACATTTCTTAAATTTAACGTATATTGGTTGATCCTGCAATATATAACATACTTTTACTGTGTATTTTTTGTTTTATTAAACTTTGAAATATCTGATATCATATTTGCAATTAAATGTTGGTATCATTCAGCAAAAAATACCTACAATAATTATATATTCAAAATCAAACACTTTGTTTCTTCCATAAGGAAACTGAGAGATACATGAATAATGTTAAAAAGAAAAAAAAAGAAAAAAAGTTGCCCCTTCTTGGGTTTGAAGCCACACCCTAAGTTTCAATGCAATTGGACAAGTGATTCTTGCCTATTTGAAATACTCTTCTAAGTTTGAGAGGTCAAACATTAGGAGTGGTTCTACCTTAATATCTTAATATTTATTGTTTGCGAGTATAATTGTGTTTTTAAACAAAGTTTTAAATCCACAATTTTTTAGGTAAACAAGAGAAAAATGAGAAATAAAATTAAACAATATTCTGGCTTTATCCTTACGGGCATAACAAATCTTGGCAAAGTGCTTTTCTTTTTTTATTTTTTTTTTTTATTTTTTTTTTAAGTTTTTTTAATATTGGGATTTTAAGGCTCAAAAAAGTAACCTAGTAACATTCAAGTATTTTGTAGTCTCTAAAGTTAAGCAGGACTGTCATTTTATCTCGTGAACTTACATGTTTCAAATATCTTTTTTCGGGTGTTTGCGTGAGTAAAATTTCAGAAAAAAAGCATCTTTGTTTTATGATCTATCAGTTGACCTTATTACCGTGCTGACTGTCAACACAATCCAAAACTGGAGATAACATTCCATCACGAAGGGTAATGATTGTAACTCCAATCGTAGCTGTACCCAAATTTAACTTCCCTAGGCTGAATACCACTAGGTCAGTTGATTTAAAAAAAAAACTTAAGGAAAGTGTGTCAAGAGTAAACGAAATGTAAAAAAAGTAACAATGCATGCTTTAACTTAAATTTTGACTGAATAAACATTCAATCCCTTAATTATTCTTTCTTTTTCATGTTTTGATTGCTGCTGCTGCTAAAATTGTGAAAACTGCTTCATTGTCATTTATTAGGGGGGGTGGGGGGAGGGCAGACTTAATCCAACCGAATCGTCGGTGCTCGCTTTTTTATACTTGTTTTCCTCGCTTTTTGGATACATCTTTTCTGCTCCATATTTTAATGTAGCCTCGCAGTTAATGTTTTTGTCGCTGATCTAGTAGATCATTGATTCTTTACTTATTGAACATATTTAATCAAACTGACCCCTAGAAGTTTACCTACCGCTTTTAGTTTCCATCGCTAGCTCAGTATATCCGGTTTTTTTTTGTTCTTCAAAATTTAAGAATATGAGGAAATGATAACCTGAAACACTTCCCATTTGATATTTTTTTATTTACATAACTAGTAGGTTACAATCATGATTCAAAGTTTTGTTCAAAATCGTCACACTAACTAAAAACAAAAATAAACACAATAAAATGTTATCCTTTTGTACCAGAATACATATATTACTTTAAAAAATTCGTTAACCCAATTTTCGGGGTTGTTGCTTCATTTTTCAATGACCAAAAAGGAAGTATTTACATTAAAAATAAGGCAGTTGTTTTTGTTTTTTTATGTAGCTAACTTTATTTGACACTTCACTGTTTGATTTATTACATAAAATCTAATATCGCTGATTCCTACAAGGATGCAGGGAAAACTCGCCTATTTATGCAAAATTAGTTCGTATTATTACTTAATGTTTTCCTTTAAACTTATACTTTCACACATTCAAGCAAAATATCACACAATATTTCATAAACCAGTACGCTTTATATCAAGAGTAGATCTATATATCATAAGTTTCGCTTTAAGTGCTATATCATATGCTTTAACGTTAGCGATATATCAATTTTACGCCATTATCCCACTAGATTTGTTATAAATGCTATGTCACAAGGAATGCTTCATATCATTTATCAGACCATAATTCACTAGGTTATGTTTAAATGCTTCATCATAAGGAAATCTTAATATCACTTAAATTAAAAATTTTTTAATAATAAATGTTTTTCCCAAAAATGGTTTTTTAAATTTCGTTTAAATTTTACCCTTTTTCAACCCCCTTTTCTCTTTAATTTCCCGTATTACCCCCTTTTTTGTAAATTATCATTTTTTAAACATATTCCTCCCCTTCTTTTACCCCCGTTGTGTCTTTTCCAAACTTTAGTTCAGTGCTTTCTGGGTGCCCTACTGGCGTGTCTGTAATGAGTCGAAGGCTGCGTTCTGTAAACGTTGCCTGGCCTTGTTGATTATTAATAGACTATTTCAATTTGTACATCACTTATTAGGCTTTATATCATTAGATACGTTATAAATGATATATATCGCATGTAATGCTTTCTAACAATATTTAGGCTTCACATATCGTCTTGGTTTGCTTTATCATAAAATATGTCTTTTATCATTGCTCATGATTTGTATGTCCCAATAAGTTTTAAAAAGTGAACTGTCAAGAAAAATGTAAATGACAAGAAACATTATATACCACCAGGTACTCTATTTGAAATAGATTGATATTTATCAGTTGGTGTATTATCAGTATGTACGCTTTATATCACATGGTACTCTTTATTTCACTTTATATGCTAAGTATGCATCACTAGTTATGCTTTGTGCCAATATAAAATATGATAATCAAGATCAACAAGGAAAGGCGGCGTTCAATGAACGCAACCCCTACACGACACATCAACAAGAACAAGTGGTAAGGAGACCAGGGAGAGCCCCTGCCCCCACTCCCCTAGAAAAGGCAGAGTACGTACAGGCTATAAATCACTATGCATCTATCAGTATGCTGTATATATTTCTATGTATGTTTTGTAATCATCATCTGGTACTTAACATATCTCTAGATACCTTGTATATCGCAGTGTTATCTTTAGCCCCTTGTGGATAAATTGTTGCCATTGGTGATAGAGGCATAACAATTGCAGCCATCGTTTACTCCTGCGAAATCGTCAGAGGCGACTTTCTGGGATCGCAGTAGGTGAAGTGGTTAGACCCCTGGTGTTGCTTTAAAGTTTAAAACACCAGAGGCTAGCTAAAATCATCTTTGCTGTTTCGGCACCATAAGGCATATACTGTGTTTGTGCGGCGTAAAGCCAAACAAACAAATATACGTATTCTTTATATCACTATGCTAAAATGTATATTACTAAACACCCTATATACCACCAGGAAGGTTATAAATCACTAACCATACTGACTTTATAGTATCTAAATATTATTTGATACGCTAAATACAATTACCTACGATAAATCACCATTGGTATACAGTACAATTTGAAAAATTGTAATAAAATTATTATGAAATGAAAGATTATTAAAACCAGTCAAACAATACTTTGATTTCAAGATTTTATATTATTTCTTCTGTAATTTTATAGTTTCTATAAATATATGGCTTGGCTTATCAGGTTATTAGCCAATAAGTATCTTTTATGAAACTATTAAAGTAGGCATCAAATAAAAAAAGTTTTATAAATAAAAAAATCTAATCGTTTATGTTGTTTTAAAAGTTTCTTTTTTTTGTATTACATGTAAACTCATATAAAAACATTGATCTACTTGAGTGTTCATTCAAGCGGTTTTAACTCATGACTCCCTTTGTTATCATTTCTACCTCTTCAGCCTTGAACATTGAATATGTGGATGATCACTAAAAATTTCGTTTCGTTTTCCCATATCTGTCATGTGTATTAAAGCTCACATATCAATTTGCTTATAATTCTGAATTATGTCTAAAATTAGGTGCAAGAATTAACACCAAATATTCGATTTTCGCCCAAATTAGTTTTTAACAATACTATCGAAAGCCCCCCCCCCCCCTTCACCAGATTTTTTTATTACTCTTCGAAATATAAACATGTTACTATTTCTTAAACTTATCATTTTCAAACGTGTTGAAGTATACACCATTTACAATATTAAAAGGACAGAACGGATATAATGTACTCTTTTCTTTGTTTTGTAAATTATAAAGGTATCATTAAATTAAATTCTGTTTGTTTTTTGTTGTTATTTTAAGTGAATGCAAATAACAAATTTTTATGTTCAGCACCACCGTTTTGGGGAATTTTAAACGATCACATATATTTGTAGCAGATTTTTTGGATACTGAGGGGCCAATGAACAGAAAGTGTTTTTAATACAATTAAGAATGCAGTAAAATAGTGATACTGGTGCCTTTAATATGAAATAACATAATTCACTCTCATATTTTGGAGGTTTTGACAACCTCACATACTTTCAAGATCCAAATGAAGATTTTCTATTGCGTCAGAGTAAAATTTTTACTTTAAAAACATGTCATTTTTCATATAGTTAAATATTGGGATGGATCAGATTAAAACGACCAGGAAGCGAGTGTGCCCTGTAATTTCAGAGGTGTTTTAATCAAATAAAGTACAAGGTGCCATGCGAAGAAAAAAGCCGATTATTTGCCGGGTGGCATATGCAATTTTTTGACCGTGAGGGGATTTCCTCTTCAAGTAAATAAATTTAAGGCAATTTTATAAAATATCTTCTTCCGTAGCAACTAGCAAACCGTGAACTTCCTTTGGTTCTATTCTGTTGCGATTTGACCAGTGCTCGGATAAATACGAACGTATTATTCAAAATGCATTATCCGAATACCTCCTATTTTTCGTATGAAAGAATTTCGCACCTATCGAAGTCAGTCTAATTGGCGCTGATCTACTCAATGACCGTCCCAAATTGTGAAAATTTTCTTACAACCGTGCGTGAATATAGACAATCGTAATAATAACGCGTGTTGTTTTTTTTATATTTAATTTTCTTTAACTCCCGAAAATTACTTGTATGCGAGAGATTTCTCTTTTAATGATTGGACAAATAAGAGTATTCATTTCAATAATGTTTATCAGTTAGTGGTATAGTGTACGGTCATGGATTTTTAGCAGTCGATAAATCTGGATTAAAATTTGGTTCCGTTGGGCATATGCTTGGAATTTTTTGATTAATACGAATGTAAACATTTATTCTAATGCCTAATGATGCAAATAATAGTGCTTCATCTAAAAAGAAGAGAAAAAAACGAAAACCAAAATTATCATTATTGAGAGATACATGTGGTTTATGTCATGGTCAGTGCGCGGTGTATACACAATACATCGAGTGCGGACAAAAGACAGTGTAATCTAGATGACAGTTTATTTAGTTTGAGTGAACTTGAAAACACAATACTCTTTTTTAAAATTTTCTTTAACTCCCAAAATAACTTGCATGCGAGAGATTTCCCTTTTAATTATTGGGAAAAAAATATAAACTAATATAAAGTATTCATTTCAATAATTTTAATGAAAGAATGAAAGTAAGCAATCTAAATAAAGTAATAAATAAACAAGTAAACATTACCACGTATTTGTATATGAATACTGAAAAAAAATCTATTTTAAATCAGTGCATTGTTTCCACTAGTACACGATATTTTAATTGAGAATACATGTCTATCTTATCTATGATTAAAAAAAATCTGCACAGTGTTCGATGTTGTTACAGTTAATGCTTGAAGATGACTGCAATAATTTTCATGTAAACTATATGTGCTACTTTATGTGGAATAAAATGCAGGTATTTATCTCTTCTATACCAATAAAATGTATATTTGGCGCATCTTTTGTCGTTTTGTTTTTCTCGAATGATTTATTGAAAAAGTGTGCTGTAAACGGTACCTTTGATATGATTGACGTATGACCAAAGTTGAATAGTTGTCGTCTATCACTATATTCGGATTTCGATTATTCGAACCCATCGATTATTCGAAGTAAATTTTCAGTCCCCAAGGATTCGAATAATCGAAGTTAGACTGTATATTAACAGTGAAACATACACACAAACATTCGTTTTCCTAGCAATGACATAATGCTAGTTGGTCAGTATTCATCAGTAATAATATTAAGCACATGTTTCGGGTAAGCATTCATGACAATTTATAAGTAAAGAAACACAAAAAATTTATTTAAACGACAATATGTCAAATACCTAAGAGAATATGAATGGGACGAAAACCAAAGTAGTAAATATCGTGAACCGGAAGTACATAATAATGTATGCATACGTAAAGTGACCGAAACATTATTCTTACCAATGTCATTTACGTTGGTAACACACTTTAGTGACATGTTAATATCTCAATAGCTGTCAATATGTGTTCTTTTTAGTCCATTACAGGGAGCAATCCGGATACTTTTAACGGCGATAACTTTTATATAACTAGAGTTTCATGTTATGTTGATTTATCCCAAATATTGGCGAAATTTCGTTATCTAATCATAAACTCGGATGCAACTTATTCCGGTGCCACTGAATTAATAATTTGATTTCTATGGTGAAGAATATTCGATTGATATTACAATTTTAGAAAGTTTATAGTCATTGCTTGTGATAAACTTTATTCTGTAAAATTAACTACAATTTGTTCATGTTTATACAGTTTAAGCCTTCAAAGCAATGATCTAAAATTTTATCTACAAAAAAAGGATCGTGCAATGAACTTGTGCATCCCACCTTCTTTCCAGTTTTAGCCATTTTATTCATCAACTGTATGAATAAAAATATATGGAAATCGGTCTTATTATAATTTTAGCATTATTCTCTTGACATCACAGTAATTTTATGCAATGTGATTTTCTTTTGCCTGTGCGTTTGTAACATATGAATTCTTGATGACAAACAACTTGATAGCTTAGACAATAAAAGTAACATTACTTATAAAGAAATATTCATAAAATCTCGAACTTGGTGAAAGTTTGAGGAAGTTGAGCCATTCCCGAGGAACACACTTGTACTTGTGTTATATGGCAACACATGTTACAATTGCAATTTCTTGCATGTATTTCAATTATATTGTAAATGGTTTTATACGCATATGCTAAGAAAAATGCAAATACCATAAATGTCGCTCGTATAATCATATAAAGATATCAAAAAGTGTAATTAAGATCATAACTTTAAAATTCATTTGAAAAACATCAAGAAAAATTGTTATGTATCGTTTAAGTTCAAACTACAACAAATTAGTATCAATAGAATTCAAATGTCACATGGCGTATCAAAACAATGAACACATTGATTGTCCTTACTTCTAGGTGATTATCTTTTTATGGATTCTTACTTTCTTGAAGTATTTGAATCAACACAATCATAATGACAAAATAACACAAAGATTGTTATCATTTTTATTAACCCACATAAAAAGTTATTAAATTAACAAAATATATTACTACAATTAGATACAAAGTATCTAATATAAGCGCTGAATATTTGAATTATTTTACTGTCAACTAGATTGAAACAAAAACAAAACTTATAAACTGTTTGACAACACACATGACAAAATACAACCACAACACCGTCAAAATTTTCTAAGAAACAAAACCATATTTGGCAATCAAAATTTTGTTGGCCTTTTTAAGACTGTTCTCTGTATAGTTGAAATTTATTTTCAAGTCATATATTGAGAATAATTGATACCAGTGTAAAGAGGATATTGCTCTACAGAATGCAAATTTGCTGAAATTGCACTGTATGAAATTATGTGTATTCTCGTATACAGCAATTTAACAAATTTCGATGCATTCTTTTACATAACATTTTACATACTCAATATCAAAAACAACATTATTACAATTTTAGGCATTTCTTTCTTATCTCAAATGCATAAGTAAGCTGGTTTTTATTCTAGTTTTACATAATTATCACTTGTTCACGTATGATTGAATAAAATATTTTCTTCTTGTGAAACTTATCGCAGTTAATATATATATTAATTGGGATAGGCGGATGTCGCACCAACACCGTTTTGTTGCCAACAAGTTACTCTTGCAAATGACATTGTGATAACTATATTTATTTATAAATCAATCTAAAACAAGCAAACTATATAAACCCAAAAAGTGATCTTTGTAAGTGGATATATTTATAGGTGATATACATGTTTATTGATATTAGATGTAAATTATAAAAAAAGATTATAAATAAAATTACAGAAACTTGTTTATTTGATTTACTACTGAAACTGAAATTGGTTTATTTGGTTTAACGCCTATTATTTACAATTAAACATTATTCAACGGCGTTTTACAATAACATAAAATACAATTTAAACTAAAATTCCATTATGATACTGTTTTAACATGAATGAATAAAAACTGCTAAATTACAGAGAATAAAAAAGAATAAAAATATAACATGAAAGAATATGATTAGTTCGTACACAGTCATTTAAAAATTTAATAGTTTTTATAAAACATATAAGTTATTTTAAAATATTAGACCAAAATGTAGAAATTACTGGAAATTTACAATAACAATTCTGCTAGATTATGGCATATTGTTAAAGCACATAAATAAATTAAAACAGTGAGTATAAGTTACTGAAAAAGTTGGTATTTAGTTTAAAAACTTCTTTCACTGAATGTTTTTCTTTCAATGAAAGGCACTTTGTAAAAACAGCTGATCTGAGACCCTGTCGCTCGGGAAACTGTCGACTTAAATGTTTAGCCAGGTTTATCGGTGCGCTGCCTACAGAACACTTGTACATAAATGTTACAATTTTCTGATTTATTCTTGCTTTAAAAGGTAACCAATGCAAATCGTACAATGTCTGTTTAGAACTATCAAATTTCTGACGTTTTAGAATTAACTTTGCACACATGTTTTGAATTATTTGGAGAACAAAGTCATACAAAATAACATTGCAGTAATAAAAATGTGAACTCACCAGACTTTAAACTAATTCTACATATATACACTAGTGTAAAGAATAAATTAAATGTACATAATAAACAAACATAAGAAAAAGAAAAGTGGACTTTTTCATATTATTTTATCAATTTTTATGACAAAAGTACTAATCTTATTGAAATTACTTTATTCGATTTTTTTGTTTGTTCTGCTATAGATTTGTCTTAACTGTTTTTGTGTGCACTTAATTTAAGATTATATAATGTATATTTTATATTCGAAACAATGGTGTTATGCTATTTTGCAATTAATCTTTAATCCAATTATAATTTTCAAATAATAGGTCTCAACTATTAAATAAGAAAAGCATTTATTCATTTATTGTGAATTTGAATTTAATTTAAAAAAAATAAGGAATATGTTTCATTTAAAACACAATGCAGTAACTAGTCAGAAATATGACAACTCATTATTATCAGCTTTAAGCACAAATAAAAATGATTTTAAGTCATGTTGAAATTGATCTTTAAATAGCCTAGTTATCAAATAATTTTCCTTTCTTAATCCATGCAATAAAAAACTTTAATACAAATAAAAATCACATTTATCTCCGTTTTGCATTACTGGCGACTCGTCCAATAATATACAATGTGCATTATTATTTAGATTTGTTACCAAAAACATGTTTGTTGCATATCAAATGCAACTTTTCTAATGTCCCTAAAACTTCGTACAATAATCGTGCGTTTACATACTTGCATCCATTACGTAGACATGGATATAATAAGAAAAAAATGATTATTAACATTTTGAATTTAAATACAATAGAAAAAGTTTTCTGCACTACGTCCAAGTAAGTATGACATACAAACATGTGAATGAAATATATTTGACAATCAAATGGTAAATAAATACTCAATTATACCTCCTTTCTATTTATATTAAGGTAACGGAGAAATAAATTGTTATCAATTATTATTTGAACTAAATTTGAAAGCGCTAAATTGTGAAAGTGTGTGACATAATTCATGTAGTTTAAGCCAACAAATATTCTTTAAATGATATATTCACTTCTTCAATAGTTTTATTTTTTTGTTTATAAGTCAATAAGTTTTTAAAGTTTTTAAAATAGATGATTTACATTTCCTTTCTTTTATGAAATATAATTCTTGAGAAATAATTTCGTTTGGTATAACAATTAGGGATTTGAATATTTTCCAGAGAAAGAATTTCTGTAGTATATACTTTGTGGAACAACATTAGAAGTATATGTATATGATTTCCATTGCACAAAGGCTTTGTCACCTGATTTCATTTGTGCAATTGCTTGTGTCGAGTAGCAGTTACCATAATTGTAATCAACTCCGTAGGCGGTCCCATAAACCTTTGATCCTACCATTATATCATAGTGAATTCTTGTTTTACTATAAATACATATTTGTGCGTAAAAGGTATATGTTCCATCTTTAGGGGCAACAAAGACACCAGTGGACGGGTTGTATGCTCCTCCTTCATTCATATGTATGTTAGAAAAAATCATAGTCTGGCCAGCTCTTGGACTGCAGTCCGTTACAAAGTAGGCGTTAAATGCAACAGTTGAGTTTGATTCTGAAAAGTGCGAAAGAAAACATTTCACATTCTGAACAGACTGGCTCTATTTAATGATACATGTTTATTACATGCTTTTCGATGGATTATAGAAATATATCAGTGATTTATAAACTGGTAATTTCACTGTTTGAAACATTGAAATTATCAATTTGATAATTTCACTGTTTTGAATTTAAGCCCGTTACGTTGTCTCAGAGAAATACCAGCGTGCACAGTACTGGAAACCAGCTTAATGACGTGACGTCGTAAATGACGTCACGTGGTATTAGAATTTGGCGCGCTTTTCATTTAGTGCTAGGATAAAATGTCTTTTTAAACGTTTCTTAGCATGTAATAAAAAGAAAATTTGTTTAGTTTAGTGTAAGATCGAAATATATTTCACCTCGTGAACACCAAAAGTTCATATTTCACACGTGGCTGCGCCACTCGTGAAATATACGTGAAATATACCTTTTGGTGCTCACTCGGTGAAATATATTTCGATCTTACACTGATCTTAACAAATATCCTCTATTTATTTCATGCTTTCCAGTGTTTTATTGTAATATATCAGATGATTATATTCTGATAAACCACTAGTGAAATTTATAAAATATAATTTTCACTGTAGCCGTAAAAGAAAATCATAACTAAATAGAATAACAGTCAGAAAAAAATGCCGTCATACGTAAATTGTGCTTCTTTAAAAAAAAAGTCGATGTCACCATACATCATGTTAAAAATGTAACAAAATTAGAGAAATTTAACAGAACTATATTTCAAAATTGATGATGTGACGTCATGATGTGATGACGTCACAAAGGAGAATGCGCGATGTTACGCGGCAAAATCAGTAGAAAATACTTAAAATCACTTAAAAAGCATGAAATAAAAAGAAAATTTATTTGTTTTACATATAAGATAGAAATATATTTCATTCGTGAACACCAGCTATTATATTTTCACTCGTGGCTACGCCACTCGTGAAAATATTGCATCTGGTGTTCACATAGTATATTATATTTCAATCTTACATGCAAAACAAACAAATATCCTCTATATATTTCAAAACGAATACTTTAACACGATGTGTATTAATTTAATATTTTTTGGCTCATTTCGTGAACTTGGGGTAATATCGGGGCGAAAACAAGCTGATTAGCGAGGGAGCGAAAGGAGGTTTAATGGATGTATATAAAAAGGCGGGGACGCGGAGCGAAAACACGCTAATTAGCACGCGAAACGAAAACTAGAACTTTTTAAGAATAATTTGGGGGGTGCGAACATATCACGCTAAAAACCACCCTATAACAATAAATATTTCACTTCGCAGCCCTCTGTATTACAATTAGATATCGACTTTTCGCTCCGCACCCGCACTTATAAGCGCGATTAAGTTCCACGCCCCCGCCGTTAATAGCTTGTTATTTGTCAATTTTTCGCTTGAGAGTCGCAGGGCGTATACACAAAATGGCACAAATCAGCCACCATACAAAACAGATACTTTTAAAGATGTTTGCAGCATTAACAAAAACCTCACTTTCTAGGTGAATTGCCTCTCTTGCATTGACGTGTAATATTGGTATTCACTTAACTTTTTTAATTTATGTCAGAGAAGCAGCATTTTGTCAAGGAACACATGCGGTCCTACATTATTTCAATTAGAAAATTGAAGTCATTTTGCTACTATATTTTATTCTTACAAAACAGTGTTTATACTAAATGTCTAAGTCTAAAGGTATGACAAGAATATTAATCAAATTTTTATTTCACGTGTAGAATTTAAATCTCAACAGATAAGAATGGTCATGGAATTTATATAACTTGGAGTACACTTTTTTTAAACTTGCCAAAAGAACTTAATGCTTACCATCACATGGGTTTTGCTTGCACAGTCTGACATCCATTGTATCCCCGAAGCAATGGGTGCCATGCCTTAGAGGAGACGGATTTGTACATGAACGATGTCTCTTCTGTATACCTATATCGCAAGTTACAGGGCATGACTCCCAACTTGACCATGCCGCCCAGCCCCCATGAACTAAAATTTGATTATACTTCAACATTTCATACAACGCATGAAATATTATAAGTATAAATTTTAGTCTCGATTTATAAGTGACATTTTCTTAAACTGACTTGCTCAAACTGAATGAATTGAAACGTGCATCCAGGAAATCGATATTGGCAATGCATAATTTTCCTTAATGAAATGCATTACTATTTGTTTCTATTATGATTATTTATTCAAAATGTAAAAGTCTCTTAACAAAATACTAGAATCATATTTCATCCATACACTTAAATCAATAAATCTTTAATAATTTGATTGTACATGTATTTATTACTGATATTTACAAAATGCTCTCTACCTGGTTTAGACTTGATAATACAAGTAAACAAATGAAGTATGAGTTATATTGTTTACCTGGACATAATGGCCGAGTACACGCTTTAAATTCTGACTTAGTTCCGTTACAATCAAGACCTTTGTATGCAGGTGCAGGGTTAGTACACGTTCTGATTCGTGTGTGTTTTCCATGACCGCATGTGACGTCACATGATGACCACGATGACCAGTCGGCCCAGTTACCGTCAACTAAAAAAAATAACAGCAGCACTTGTAAACGCATCCAAAAGATGATCACACTTATTTGTGCATAAGGACGTTTTTGGGAGTTTTCATATAGACATATAGGTGAAAATTAAAACTGTTCAATATAAATCCTGTAAACTTGGCTTGTTGTTTGAAGTTTTTCAAAACGAATTAAGAGTGGATAATTTTTCCACGTCTTCTCTTAACCTGTGCTTTTTTTCTTACATAATGGCCTATTTTTGAAGAAATGAAAGTACATGTACCTTTATTTTCATTGAAAAAAATGTATAGAAATAATGTAAGGAATTGCAAATTAATTTTGTGAACACTTTATTAGAAAAACAGCATAAAGATAGTTACCTAGATCACACAGTTTGCAGAATTTACGACAAACTAACTTGGCTTGATGGATATCTGCACAGATGCCGAAACCTTTGTTCCAGAATGCACAGTTTTCTGTCTTATCGCTGCAAGGGGGAGCTAAAATTCAAATTAAAAATTAAAGACGTTAAAAGTGAGTGAGTGAGTGAGTGAGTGAGTGAGTGAGTGAGTGAGTGAGTTTTGTGTGGGTGGATGAGTGAGTGATGTGAGTGAAAGACTGAAAGAGTGAGTGAGTGAGTGAGTGAGTGAGTGAGTGAGTTGGTGAGTGAGTGAGTGAGTGAGTGAGTGAGTGAGTGAGTGAGTGAGTGAGTGAGTGAGTGAGTGAGTGAGTGAGTGAGTGAGTGAGTGCAAAAGAACTTTATATTTGTGTCTGCTTTTTATACTGTGCATGAATACAAATAATTACTCATTTGTAAAGACATATTTTTTTATCTCATAAAAAACAAATCAATTATAATTTGTTTACCAATTTTGAAAAGTTTTCTGTTAAAAGATGAGAAAGGGCTACATACGTGTTTTGTAGTTGCATAGGTCTTTGTTACATTTATCAACACCACAGCATTCTTCACAATCTTGTATCAGTTGACCATTGCTCAACTTTGACACGTTAGTGTATACTGGTATGCTACTGCAATACTGTAAAAAGGGCATACTGAATATATTCAATGTAAAAGCATTTAATTGACAAAATCTTCACCTTATGTATTGATGTTCTGCCATTTTTACTAACGACACGAGTAAAAGCAACATCAATTAAATTGCACATTCCAGCGCTTTTGACATTTTCACATCAAAATATATTTTAATGTACTATTGCTTGAATATTTGTCTTTTGCAGATATTGTCAGATAGATAACATAATGGCCTTTGAATGTTTGTTTGACGAAGCGAATAAGAATTATGCTCAGCATAAACGTTTTATGTAAACAAATTCGAATCATATTTTTTCCAGAATTGTATGGCAAATTTTTTTTGCAGTAATTGAGTTGTAACGTTGGAACAAAGTTAAACAAAAAATATTTTTTAAAATGATAACAAATGATAAATAATTTAAATAATTATTTTTGTTCCATGTTATTTATTTTCCTTGTCAATAGGTATATGTCGGTCGAGGGACATCCTACTCTATACCGTGCAATGTTTACATGCACAACATTCATATGATATGATATGTATTTTGAATATGCTATAAATGATATTTTATGTGACGAAAAAGGCGCATGTAGTTATCAGTAGTAGAAGTACTTAAAATATATCATACAGCTTACCTCATTTCGTATACACCCAAGTGTGAATGATGCAGATTGTCCTTTATTTTCTAAACGTGTGAAACATGACTGAAGTTGAAATATAATTAAAGTTTTCGAAAAAAAGATGTACAAAATGTAAATGTTAATCTCTAAAAACACCATATTTAAACATCAGGTGTCGACCTAAACAATAAGATCATGAACTGACAAACTTATCTAAACGTATTCAAAAAATTAGATTTATTAAATGTTTCTCATTCCAATATAATTGCAATATTTCAGAGTACAAACTCACCTGTCTTTCCTCGCATGTTGTTTTAGTTTTACAACTGTCTAAATTGTCAACGTTGTTACACGAATAACAAGATAATGAAGCTGAAGAAATACATCATTTGTAATATTTACATTAAGTCAGATATGAAATGATTTTGTCTAGTTTCAGGTAATTCCATGCACAAAACAATTACGATTTATTCTTTAATCTACGTTTTGTATATCTAGCCTTTACCGACGTGAAACTATAATCCTTAGGAATTAAATAATTGGTATTTACTCAAAATGAGTAATATATTGATTTTAAAGATTTTTTCGTCATTATCACAGAAACTCGAACTCGTTTCCGATAATTATCATACAATAATGAAGAAAACGAATTAGGTTGTGTAAATTTATAAAACAAAATTTCATGAAATTTAGATAATCAAACTAACCAACGTCTCCAGGAGCAGCCAGCAGGAAAAGGAGAAATCCTGAAAAAGCAATTTATATAATATTAAAGGCACATAATTCCTCAGAAATGTTGTTTTAATTGTTTTTTTTTAATAATTTCTCAAAAAGTTTTTAATTTTCATATTTGGGGTCCTGTTTATAGTTTCCAAAATGTTACTTGGCCTATAACCTGAATAATATTTTGTTCCTGAAGTTTCTAGGGATTGATACTTTTATGATGTGATGTCTAAGTTATTTGTATGGAAGTCACAATGTAGTCCAAATTTATTCATTTCAAAAATGGCATGTATAAATTACCGGTTAGGTTCTGTCACGAAATATAAAAATAACTGAACAACAAATTTAAGAAAATAAACCTTAAAGTATTTATGTATTAATTCTTTTTTTCTACAGAGAATTGTTCACATAAAAATATTTACCAACATAATTTGAGATTAAAGTGATACTGTAACTCAGGATTCACTTAAACGATTATGAAATATTAATATTTTACAAGATAGTAAAGCAATTTTTATATTCCATCTATAATAAAGGGATTTTATAAGGTTTTTGATATGACGGGACTGGAAATATTTTTTCAAGAATAATGTTCCGTTTGATGTAGGCCTAGACCATTAACCGATGTACAAAATTTCAGTTTATTTGATTACTAAGTGTGTTCCAGATCAATTTTATTGAAATTGATTCGAAATTGATCATTCTAAATACTCAGTGGATGTTCTTTAAAAGCTCATAGTAAGCAAGAAGTACAAGTATCGTATAGTAAACTTGAATAAAGTTAGTTGTTATCTAATAAAGAAAGAATTTCGTAGGTCGTAACGGATCGATAATTATAGTATATATCATGACAGCATTGTATAGCATGCTTTTATGTGATTTTTGTGTTTTGTTAGTTGTTAACATGGGGTTATTATTATTTATAAATTATTATACAATAAAGATATTTTAACTAACCTTTATAAAGCATCATAGTGGCTTTTCCTTCACACGAGTAATCCTAAATTTTGAACGCTGAAAATAAGTGTGTATTCAAATAACGATGTTTTTATTCAGTATTTTCAACTTTCTCTCTATTATTCGGGTATCATGAAATCTTAATTTAAATTAAATGAACCATAATGAAAGCAAGGTTTGTCTACAAAATGAAGATAACATAAAACAGAAAACAACATGTATTTAATATTATTCAAATTTCCATTATTCTTATTTATGTAATTTATTTGAATAAAATGAATCATACTAATAACAAGGCCTGTCTTATAAGGAAATAACTTGAACGAAAAAAATTACTAACATATTTATTTCAAGAAAAGACATTGCAGAAGAAATTACTCAAAGATGGTAAATGTATTAAGTTGCAACTTGAAAGTTGTGTTGATTTAATTTATCGTTTTGTAGATTGTATTTCAAAATCGCAGTTTTATGCTCGAATACTACTGACGTTGTTTTACACGTTACATTCCGTTATTAAAATTTAATTATATTTGATATTATGACATTGTGTTTTAAGACCTTTGACTGAAATAGATGTCTGAAAAATACATATCTTTATATAAAAGAAATTATTGAAAACAATTGAGCAAAGTCTGTTAAATAAATTTTTGTAGATTTTCATTATGAACTTAGGTATTAAGTATTTTAAAATAATAGCTTCACTTTTGAAATTATGTAAAAATTTAGAGGTAAAGATATAATTTAAAAAATAATCACTTACCTTGTGAGGACATGCATCGCCTTTGGTGCTCCGGGCGCATGTGACGTGTTTATAAAGGGACAATTAAAACAGGAAGAAAAATAAGTGTTTGCTTCAGAGGCTAATAGAATGTTATGCAACTGTTTTATGTCTTACATCTAATTTTTCTTCAATCACGTCGAAACTTAATTAATTTAGCATGCATAGTTTATTGGTTATTACACATTTATTATTTAACATGTAATCTTGAAAAAATAACGGTGTTTCCTTCTGATTTTAATTGTTTGATATGGTGTTGTAAATTCGAAAAACGCTTAAACGTGTACTGTCTGAGAACTGTGCATTCTGCAATTGTCACCTTTGTGTTTATGTGTTGTCCAGTGATCATCCATTTTTATATTATTAGTTTTAAATTCATTGGAAAACAAGTACATTGTTCTGGTGACGTAGAGTTATCCGTACTGAAGAGCTATATAAGCTTTAACAATTACCACCTAATCATAAAAATTACTGTCAAACAATAACAAACTTGCATGATCTTAGATGCCTTCAATAGACATATTGGTAGAATGAAACCTGTAGAATAGACTTTATTTAATCTTTGCATAAAATAGTAAAATAAAAATTATAGTAGTTTGTCTATTTCTCACGCGAGCTGCTTCTCCCTTAATGTACATTTAAAGTTTGTTTGTTTGTTTGTTTGTTTTCTTCATTGGTTATCAATAGTGCCAAATAAATATTTCATAATTTAGATTCCTTGTAATTAAATTGTCCTTCGCCTCAAGGAAATATTACTTAAAAGAAAAGAGAGAATTAAGAATGTTTTTATCACGTGACATACCCGAATTAACATTATTTACAGGAATATAAAATGAGCGGAAGAAAATATTCGATTTTATGATGACATTCATGAAACGTAAAACTCATTGTGTATATTGTTAAATGAAAACCACGATCCCTCGAAAACAATTAAAGCAAAAAATATTGTATGAAAATTGCAAACTCGTCTTGCATATTTTTTCCTATAATTTAGCAATATTGTATTTAAAAATCCTACCATTCCTGGTGGCTTAAAACTTTAAAAAAAAAAGACAAAAAGGTGATGAGGAAGACTATCTTTTATCCTCAACAGAAGTCGAGGAATATTCCATTTACTTTAATACAGAACAGAACTTACTCTCCATTTGGAAGACACAGATTACAAAATATTAAATTCTGCAATAAAATGTGTGCAAATTTATAAATAATATTATAGGCAGTGGTAATGGTTTATATTTACTGATCATTTTTCTATTAAAAAATAAAGTTCTTATTTACAGGTTGAATCTTTTATACTTTAATATGACAATTTAAATTTAAATAAAATAAAAAAATTTAACTGGCCTTAAGGTTTGACAAGTTTGAGTACAAAAACTTGTTTTTTGTTTTGAAGCACAAAACTGACCTAAATCATACCGAGTTAGTGATTGTCTTTGATTATTATCACTCTAAACCACATGATCTTTACTAGACCAAAACATCTTTTTAAACAAAGGAAGATTACGTGAGACGAATTCAGATGCAAATGATGATAACAAAATTATGGACTTGACAATGTAGTGTCTTTGTCACATTATCTTGACGTCAGTCAAAGTTGCCTAAATACGGAGATGGCATTCCATCACGAATAATAAAAATCCTTACTATCATCGTGACCAACCCGAAAACAAACTTTAACTTCCTTACGCTGCACATGGACAGATACGTAAAACTTTCAAAACAAAATCTAAAGGAAAATTTCAGAGCTATATTTAAATAATAAAAGTCCCTTGGGAAATTATCAAGAGCGTAAAGATATCATAAACAAATAAATTCATGATTCCTGTTATATCTTCCTAAGTTTTTATTTTAAAAATTGCTTCAACGTAAACCGTGAATTATACATCTGTATTTATTTTCGCATTTGAATATAATTTTATTTGTTGTCCACATGTTGATATATGATCAGATCCTTTCAATATCTTAAATGTTAATGGATGAATGTTTGTGAGGCAGATACTGGGGGCGTGAGAAATGTTGCACTTTCCATAATCTCTCATGAAGGGACTCATATTCGTGTGTTTGTTTTTTGTTTGTTTGTTTTTTGTTTGTTTGTTTGCTTGTTTGTCGGGGATCCCTTCTTTCAAGATCTTTTTATGTTCCCCTTGTTAAGAAATTAGTAACATTGTCTAATGGTGCATGTATGAGTATATAAATATTGTTTAAACCATTAATGAATTGAATAATATTTTGTGATATATTTCAACTTATTGTTTCATTTATAATTTTCGGATTGTACCACTATAGAAAATAACACGAAACTCTTCCCTTTTGTAATCTGAATAATCTTACTTGGTTACTGACAAAACAAACAATTGTTTTAAAAATAATATTATCATACAAACTTGTAAAAAAAAAGATGAATGTATTTGATTCTTTGGTACAAAAAATACTTTTTGTCATATGTTAATGCGCAATATAAAAACAGACTTCAAAAATATTGATGAATACGCTTAAAGTAGCTGTCTACCGTTTCCTATAGCACTGAACGTCTGTCGTTTTTGCTACAATTACTAAAACTATTTTGACACTAAGTCTAGTAATGTTATAAAAATGTCTGCTTAATAATTCAGAAGTCTTAAATAAATATGTGTTAAACGGTTATTTGCTACAGTTTATATATGATGCTTAGCATAAGCAACACCCACATGCCAGCAACAGAGGATCACCGACAAGGAACCCAGAAATCTGAAACATAAAGTAACCCAAATATGTGTAAAATTTTGGTCAAAACAACTTCTCCTCCAAAAGATGATAACCGCTCTCGCCCCATCCCTCCAGCCCCCCACCCCTCGATCCCCAGTCATGATATATAAATAGAACTTAACAAGTTGGAACTAATAGATGAGAAAAGAATCAACACAAAAAGAAATTAAAGACACCAAAGATGAATAAGCTCACAATATAACATTAATCAAATCAAGAGTTGACAAATTATTAATCAAGCTAGACTTAAATGTTATTGAGCAAAAGTTTGATTTGCAAACAGTTTTGACTTATGAAAAGAATGAATAAATAAGCAACAGTCCGCTAAGATTATAAAAATGGAGAAAAAAATCATGAAATCTGTAAACATTCAGTTGAAATGGAAGAAACGTTTAAGCATAGCTATAGTGGAGGAAAAGAACCTGAATAATTTACGCTATAATAGGAATACGATTTGTTATAAAAGAATCTTTAAACGGAAAGTCAATCTCTCATTGGTCATAATAGAGCACGTGTTTTATACAAATGTATACAGTCTCCCTTTAAATGACAAGGGTCCGAAACCAAATAAAGTAAGGTTTGTGAGGATGGTTTAAAAGAAATAGGCTCCTTGGTCAAGTTTAAGCAGGTGCCCTACCAAAAGGGTCTTCGATCCTCGAGGGTCTCCCCAAGAAAGATATTTATAACTTATGCAACTAGCTAACAAGTTAAGAAATCCACAAGCGGTGTTAACAAATACAAAACTGGAATCATAGAAGTAAGTGATTGGTCACTTCATTTTAAAGTGAATTGGTCTATAATGGAGAGCCCTGATAACATCAATATTTATGTTGATAGTATTAATGACCATCTACAAAATAATTATATATAGATGTTGTTAGTAGATTAAGTGAAGCATGTATGACCCGATATGACATATTAATATATAGCAGTTAATAAAGCGTTCTAGAAAAAATGTTATTATTCATTATATACTAGTGTATTTTAATGATGAATCACTCTAGAGTTCCATTAACATTTTGTTTTCCATAATTTTTTTAAAAAAATATACATTTCTACTGTTTGTATCAATATTTAATATAACGACAAATGTGCTCATTGTTGACCAATTCACTTCAAAAGTAAACATGTGTTACTAACAGTTTTAAATATAGTTAAATATATTATTCTTGCATAAAAACTGTGTACGCAGGTATACATTCCAAAAAGGACACAACATGCATTAACTTTAAGATTCGTGTGACAATTTATCGTTGTTGCATGACTCAGGTCACAATGTATAACAGCTTTATACAATGACTGTCTCGGTAGAATTATTATCATGAAATAACTATCAAATAACGTCAAATTAGCATGTTGAACGCGGAATAACTGATTTCGACGTATGTTTTTGTTGTTTTTTTTTTTTTGTTGATTTTTTTTTCGACAGTAAAATGATGCTTATATTTTGTAACCCAGTGTTTTTAGGGTTAATTGTTAATTTCAAAGGAAGACCACTCTATCGACCTTATTTGATTTTTGTGATGATGTCCCTTTGACCATTTAACTATCTAACCCAGTGTTTTTAGGGTTAATTGCTAATTTCAATGGAAGACCACTCTGTCACCTTGTTTAATCTTACACTTTATTTCTGTGATGATGTCCCTTTGACCATTTAGCTATCTGCTTATCCATAATATTTCCCTCCAAAGTTAGGGTCTCCTGAGGTCGTTCTTTGTGTAATCAGAAGTTATTGGTCATTGTGAAATGAAACTTAGAAATTAAGGACTGAGGAATTAAGAAACAGTATGTTTTATTCATTTGTTTTTTAAAGTTATAATTGTGTAAATTAGAAATATTCTCGAATGTTATAGTTCATGATGTTAGCAATAATCGTGTCTAATATTTCAAAGAAATTTCTGTTTCAGTTTCTATTTGTAATGCACTAAATTTTATAAGTACAGTAGAGCTTAATTTACATCACAGTGAGACAGACAGGTGTGATAAAGCAGAAGTTTGATCCACAATTGGTATGTTATATTATGTTTAAAAGTGATTCGGCATAGATTTTAGAACAACATAATTGTAGACTTTTAAGGTATTAATACATTGTATATTGTTTTATAAATGACTGGTTAAGTAGACATTCTATGCAAGTTCAATATGATGTGAATATATCTAGCTATGATTTTTTGTATAGATAAACATGTATTTAGAGGAAGGGTACACTTTTTAGATTATTCCATATAGAATTAAGCCGGTGATAGGGGCGTGGACGGTAATTTGCACTTGACAGTACCGTTCATGAACAGGCTCAATCAAACCGAGCCTGTAACAT